AAGGAAGATTCCTCAGGGTCCAAGTAGGGTTTGAGGTTTAAGGTTTAGGGTTTAGGGTTTAGGTGGGGCTGGGGGTTCCTTAAAGACATCCCTTAAGGGATCCTTAGTTTGGGGCTCCTCACAGGGGTCGGCTGGGGTTCTGTGAGAGGTCTTTAGGGGAATTGTAGGGTTTTAGGGTTTTGGGGCTTTGGGGTTTAACAGTATAAGGGTTTTAAGGCTTTAGGTCTCTAGGGCGTTCGGATTTTGCAGGTGTTGGGGTTCGGGGTTGAGGGTTTAGGCTCAAGGTTTTGGGAGTTTCCGAACATCGGGGACCCTAATGTAGTACCCTAGATAGTAGGATCCTTCTTATACGGACCCCAAAATAAGGCACCCCTAATTGTCGGAAGCTCCCGGTTTAGGATTGGGACTAAATGGTTGGAACTCTGGGGTTTAGGGTTTAGGGGTTTAGGGGTTTAGGGTTTAGGGTTTAGGGTTTAGGGTTTAGGGGTTTAGGGTTTAGGGGTTTAGGGTTTAGGGTTTAGGGTTTAGGGTTAGGTCTCGGGGCTCAGGGCTCGAATGCTTTCGGGTTAGGGCTTCGACTGCACTTCCGAGGCGATTTCAGTTGGCTCCCGGCAGTCTCACACAAAAAGGGGGGTAGGGTTTAGGGTTTAGGGTTGTTGTTTAATGGGCTCTTTTCCGCTTGCACATGCGTCCGAAATTCCAAGTTTAGGGTTTAGAGTTTAGGGGTTAGGGTTTGAGGTTTAGGTTCATGGTTGTGTGGGAGCCCGGTGTTCGTAAGACCATGTACAACCCCACAAAACCCTCATAAATCCCGTACAACACCCTAAAACAAACCTCATCAAACCCTAAACCCTAAACCCTAAACCCTAATCTTACCCATTGATAAACGGCTCACAGCCCCTCTCTGTACCCACAAACCCGGTTATAAAACCCTAGATGTCGGGCCGGATAGGACACCAGGTCACCCTGCTCCAAAGCTGACAAGGGTCCCCTAAATAGGGGACTTAGTGGCACTTAGTAACTTAAGTCACAAATAAGGTAACTTTACTTGTAATTACGGCTAAGGTACTTAGAACTGTACTTACGACGTCCTGTGACTCTCGCTCTCTCTGTCTCTCTCTCTGTCTCTCTGTCTGTCTCTGTCTCTGTCTCTCTCTCTCTCTCTCTCTCTCTCTCTCTCTCTCTCTCTCTCACTCTCCCCAGCTTCAAACACTTTAATCTTTTAATGCCTATCTATTTTTTGATGCCTACTTATGTTTCTAATGCCTATCCCGCATAAACCCTTACTTCTCATGGTTCCTGATTAACGGCCTTGGGGTTTTTATTACATGTACATGGAAACTTACACCCAAAACCCCAAAGAGTGGTGCTGTCAGAGTCAAGCCGGGCGGGAGATCGCAGTCCTGCGGCGGATCAGCGGCTGTCTGAGCCATCTCTGAAGCGCTCGTCAGAAGATCACAGCGGCGGCACGTGAGCCTCGCCCGGCTCTTCCTCCTCGGTCTCTGCATCACCAACACTGTCATGTCTCCCAACACCCTAAACCCTAAACCCTAAACCCTAAACCCTCATGACCAAGGCCCCCGGTCTCTGGTTTACTCAATGTCGATCCAGAGACCGCCTCGAAACCGTGAGCCTGCCGGGATCCTAAGCCCGAAACCCTAAAACCCTGAAGCCCTAAACCCCTAAACCCCTAAAACCCCAAACCCTGCAACCCTAAGCCCTAAACCCTAAACCCTAAAAACCCCAAACCTTAACACCCTAAGCCCTAAATCCAAGACAGCAGCTTCCGAGGTTGCCTGCACGAAGACCGGAGGCGAAACGATCCAGTGCCCGTTCCCGCGATGCCCATTGTATTATGGACTCCATTTTGTTATCGACTCCAACCCCTCGCTTCTGACTGGGTTCAAGTCGGGGTTTAGGGTTTAGAGCTTCAGGTTTAAGGTTTAGCTTATCTACAGATCTATAGGGCATAGAGATCTAGTGAGACATCGTAGAGGTTCGCGGGGGCTGATGTGATTTAACACAAGGGCCTAACCTGGATTCAGGAATTTCGGGTTTGTTGACGGTCCTCGAGACCCTAACCCCTAAGCCCTAAATCCCAACCCCTAGACCCTAAACCCTAACCCCTAAACCCTAAACCCTAAACCATCAAACCCATCGAACCTCGAACCCTGAAACCCTAAACCCTGGACCACCAAACATTTAAACCCTGAACCCTAAACCCTGAACCCTACACCCCCAAACCCCAAAGCCCCCAACCTATACCCCCCTCAGAACCATAATATAAATACTATATTGATTATTCTCTTGGGTTTTATATGAACAAAATACAAAATTATTCCTAAGGATCTAAACCCTAAACCCTAAACCCCAACGCCCCTGCCTTCCAGACATTAAAAACCACCCCAGCGCAGGCGAGCAAGATGGGCCCATCCTGGTTTTTCCGGGGCCTTTCACCAGAGGGCCCCTTTAAGGGCTCCGCTTAAGGGGTTCTTTTAAGGGGTTCCTTTTTTCGGGGTGCCTTTCCTTTTAAGGGGTTCTTTTTCGCGGGTAGGGTGCTATATTTCCCGAGATCGGCCTGCTTAGGCCCTTATCAAGTTCTGCTTAGGGCCTCGGGGTCCTTCTGATTTAGCCTAGACTGGAGGGCTCCGTTTGGGAGAAGGAGTGGGCAGGCGAGGTCATGACGATGACAATAAGAGCAATAATGCTGGTACCTACTTGTCGGGTATCATGGGGAAACCTTTTCGGCTATATAGGGATTATACCACCCAAAAAAGGTTAAAGCTTACCTACTCGACTACTAGCGATCATCATAGTGATAACAACACGAAAGGGTAGAGACGCCAACAGTAATCATTTTGCTGCTGCTTAGATTTTGCAACTTCGTGGTGACATGATGTCGCCTGAAGAGCATGTGGGGGTTTATCCAAGGGTAAAAGGAGGGACCCTTAATAAGGACCCCTAGGTATATACCCTTCATATAGCTATAATATACCCGTTATATAGCCCATTATAGGGATGTAAGTTTTAAGGGTCCGCGAAAGCCTAAACCGTCTCACGACCAGTGCCTGCCACCCAGCTCGCTAAATCCCTAAACCCCACACCCTTAAACCCCGATACACTCAACCCTAAACCCTAAAGCCTAAACCCTAAACCCTAAACCCTAGAGAAACCCTAAACCCTTAAACCCGAAACTCCCCTCAACCTAAAACTCAAAACCCGAAAAGGCTTCTAGAGGCCCGGCAGCGCGCTAAAAACCCGAGGGGCGAGATGCGTCCAGCTTTTCGGGTATAGAGTTTAAGGGTTTAGGGTTTCGGGTGTGACGGTCTGAGGGTGAGTTTAAAGGTTCAGAGTTGAGGTGTTGAGTCCACTCTATAATAGAATTGCGGCTTCCGTTGCCTGTGCGTTCGCTACGCCGAATTCTGGAGCCTCACCAAAACACCCTTCGAATGAGTCTCCCTATCCCAAGCTTTCGCAGATGCTTTCCCCCAAAGCTGGGATTGATCTGGGCAGTTGTCAAAACCACGGTCCCTTTTTGGGTCCCTCATATAATTCGGCACCTCATATTTAGGGCACCCAAAAAGGGACCCTAGTTTTCACAACCACCCATATGGCTGGAATCAGAGAGGTTCCAAGTCATCCGGGCCTCGAGGGCATGTATGATAGTACAGGGTAGGCATAACGTTTAGGGTTTAGGGTTTAGGGTTTAGGGTTTTAGGGTTTAGGGTTTAGGGTTTAGGGTCCCAAAGCAACAGGAAAAGTATTCCCCCAACAAATCAAAGCTTGTTCTGAGGCCCCCATAGATCTGTTTCACAGTTCAAGGCTTTTTTGAAGGTTTGGAACTCATAGTAGTCGGGCCGGTGCTCGGGATGCTCTGAAAGAAAGCGCCAATCCTTGCACTCTTAGAAAGCCTACTAGAGGGGCCTTCATGGTGAGAATAGGGTTCCCGTTTAAATGGGGTCTATAAGCCCTAAACCCCTAGACCCCTAAACCCTAAACCCCAAACCCTAAGCCCTAAACCCCTAAACCCCTAGACCCCTAAATAACCCCGAAACCCTAAGCCCTAAGCCCTAAACCCCGAAGCCCTAAACCCTGAACCCCTAAACCCCTCGACCCGAAACCCCTAAACCCCGAAACCCTAAGCCCTAAACCCCTGAACCCCTAAACCCCGAAACCCCAAACCCTAAGCCCTAAACCCCTAAACCCCTAGACCCCCGAAACCCTAAGCCCTAAGCCCTAAACCCTGAACCCCTAAACCCCGAAACCCGAAACCCTCCAGGCTACTGGAAGCCTCGTCCTCGGAGCCGTCGTATCTGCGGAGCTCTTGGGCGGTCCAGGGGGCCTGGACAACAACCCAGAGAGCCCAAGGGGCCCCTTAATTCAGGAATACCTAGGGTTCCTTTAAAGGGATCCTTTAAGGGATCTATAGGGTTTAGGGTTTAGGGGATTCTAATACCCCTTAATTAAGGATTGTAGCTTAGATCAAAATATGAATCCCCTTATAATTTAAGGTATATTCCCTAATTAAGGGGTATTGGCCTCTCTGGGAAGAAGCGGGGCAATGGGGCTTTGGGGTGTTCCTTAAAAGGGTGCTTAAAAGGATCCTTATAAAGGGATCTATTGGGGTTCCTTAAGAGAGTTTTGGTGGCTCCTCAAAGCGAGGATGTAAGGTTTTGGGTTTAAGGTTTAGGGCTAAGGATTGCTGTCTAGGGCTTGTTTTGTAGTTCTATAAGTCTGTTGCAGAGTTTAGGGTTGGGTGCCTAGGAGGGCTCGAGAACATCCCGTAGAGGACGGGAATCGCTCAGAGCCCCAGTGTGTGTTTCACACGACGGCGGCGGTTGACCGGAGCCATTGCGCGTCTCCGAAGTCCTGCCTGGCACAGATCGCTTCGGCGAAAGAGATCACTAGCCCGGTCGCGGTCACGGCGGCTCGCGGCACAAGGCTTTCCGCCACGACGGCGGGACCTGCGGCGTCTCCTACTACATCACTCAGCCCCACCGATGCCTCGCGGCAGCAAGAGAAACGACAATCGTGGGGCCTACAACGACGACTACGGAAACTCTGCCACTTGGGAGTATTGGCGGGGTGGCTGGTCGCCACGCTCTGCAGCCCAGGCTCCGTGGAAGCCCCGTGGCCAGGGGGATCGTCTTTTTCCAGCCTTCGACGAAGTTGCAGTTCCGGCGGGCGGGAAGGCGCCGGAGAAGCCAGCGGAAGTCATTCATATTGGCGACTGTGGAGACGATCAACTGGTGAGCGCCGTGCAGGCCGCGCTCAACGCTGCGCGGAAGGCCGAGCAACGTGTCGCCAAGCTCAAGGCCCAGGGGGCCACGGTCACGACCAAGTGGGAGCACTACGAGGCGAAGCTCAAGGAGACCTACCAGAAGGAGCACGACCGATACCAGGCCGCCAGGGAGCGCTTACAGAGGGAGCTCCACGACGCGGAGGCCCTACAGTTCCAAGCACGGCAGGTTGTGCGACAGGCCATGGCCAACAAGGCGTCTGGGAGTGCCGATGTCCCTATGCTCACCCGGCCCACAGCGGATCAGGTTTTTGCAGGATGGCTAGCGGAGGAGGACAATCAGCTGCATGCAGTGTTGAACCGAGCTCTTGGGGTGCCCCATGGGGGCACACCTATGCGAGGGAGGACTGGCACGCCCCTCACGCCGCCAGGCCACTTGCTGCCGCCGGCAGGCTCGGGTGCGGCACCTCCGTACGACCCTTACATGCAAGCAGGCGAGCCCCATCTACCCAGCAATCCCGGGCCCAGTGCGCCGTTTCCCACACCGGGGCCGGCTGGCGAGCCGGGTGCCCCGCCTCCGGGTTTGGGGCCTATGGACACTGGAGCTCATGGTGTGGCGTCTCCGGGCGGAGTGGTGGACCATGCTTATGGCCCCAGTCCCAACCAGGAGCGTGCAATACGACGCAGGGCCCTGGAGCCCTTTGGCATCCCGACTACCCGCCCGGAACATGTCCCTGCAGGTGGGGTTCTACCTGCTCCCGTCAACTTCCTTGCCGACGACGAGGACGAAGCTGGTACAGGCACTTGATTTTCGATAGGTTCCTGTCGGCGGTTTCGGGGCCTCTTTTCTGCTTGAGGAGCCGACCTGACAGGCCCGGCCCGGTAGAGACTTTGTGGGCTAAGTCTCCCGGTGCCATGTTCCTGGGCGGGGCGTGCTCTTCCGGCAGGAGACTGGTTCTGATAGACGGTGAACAGGAACGGTTTCACTGTAGGGCGTCTTCCGCAACTGACTTCAGCGGCCATGCAGCCTCTTCCTCCTCGGGCCGACCGTTGGGTTTTGCAGAGGACTCTGACGAGGCCCTGATTTCTGTGTTTTGGACTTCAGGCCTCGCTGAGCCCTCTTTTCCATCCTCTGCCTCGGGAGTGGATCACTGGTCTTGTGACCTTGGCTCCGAGGCCCTGCCTTCTATGCGTCCTGGCACCCGAGAGGATGCGGCTGGCTCGTGGGCGCTAAATACTTGTATCGGTAGCTCAGGGACAAGAGCCACAGCCAGCTGCACCATTACCTTCCCTTCCTCCGGGCCTTGCCTCGACCGGAGACCCCTTGCTTTGAGAAGTGCGGATTGTCACTATTGGGATAGTGACGGCCCCCATGCTTCTTCTCCTCTTTCCTCTGTGCAGGGGTGCGGGGGTCCTGTTGCCTTTCCGCATTCTCCTATCTCGCCTGTGCTGGGTCCTCTCACTCTTTCTTCGCCCTCTCCTCAGATTGGGCGCGGCATTTTTTCGTGGGCGCTAAATACCTGCATCGGTAGCTCAGGGGCAGGAGCCACGATTTTCGCCACACTTTCCCCTCCCTACCATAGGCCCCTAGGGTTTAGTCCTCTGGTCCTTAGGTATGGAGGGTTGTCTGAGAGCGATGGTTTGGGCGTTCCCTTCTTGCAGGCCCTTGCCACTTTCCTGGTGCCACTGGCGAGGAGCGTCCTGGGGCTTTTCTTCCTTGCCCTGCTCAAACTTCTATGCTGGAATCTCCCCAGGCATGACTCTCCGCTGAGTAGGCTGGTCCAGCTCCCCACCCAAGGTATACCGCCCACCTTAGCCGAGGGACTATCCTGTTGCTCACCACGCATGCGGGCTCAGGTTCAGCAGAGGCAGCCCCCCGGTCCGCGGTTCAGACAACGTTGTTTCACTGCCCGGTGTGAGGGCTCTGGAATCTCTAGGTTGTTGTGCCTGCTTTTCGGCTTCGCGAGTCTCCCAACCTGTGCATGGTGCATGGCCTCTGAGCAGGCCGACGCCTCCCCCGCTGCACCCCGGGGCACAGTGCTGGCACGAGAACGCACCTCGTCTACTCTGCCTTTCTTTGGCAATTTGCGTGGCGAGGTCGCTACATGGCCTGCCCTGGGTGCCGCAGTCGATATGGAAGTGGCCCCCGTGCCCGTCGCAGTTTTGGGTCCGGGTTTCCGGACTGCGGCTGTGCACCTGAGCCTGCCAGTGCATATTGATGAGAATGTGCTATGTCATGCAGTTCGTGCTGGGCTCTCGGCCGAGGATTTGTTGCCGGACAGCATCTTACTGCCCGCCTCTGTCCAGCCGGGAGGTCTCTTCTTGACTTTCCTTCAAGTCCCACGTTGGGTAGCCTACTCCGGGCAGCGGGTTGTAATCGTCGACCTTTCGGCCTTCCAGGAAGCGGTTTTCGCGGCATTCTTGCCGGTCGTGATTGAGGACCCTGTCCTTGAACAAATCGCAGCCCAGTACAGTCTGGAGCCCTGGGCCGTTTACCTCGATGACGACCCGGAGAGAAAGACAGGCGCGCTCCGAGTTCTGTCCGGATCGGTCCTCAGGTTCGTGCCGGTTGGAGGTTTCCCGACTCTCGCTATGGATGTGATCGGTGTCTTGTCCGACGAAGACTTTAGGCCAGGGGAAATTTCCCCACTTCTCCTAGGTGAGTGCTCGCCTTCGCGGCTCACCATTGATGAGCATGCATTGTCTGTCGTTGCGCATGATTCCGCCGATCCCGCTACCTTGCAAGAGGTGATCTTGCGGAGAATGCACCAGCCACAAGCCACGGTCCTCTTTGCTGAGCCTTGTGAAAGCTCTCTTGCTGCCTCTGTCTTACAGGGAGGCCGTGCGATCCGTGGAATTTTGGGTGCAATTCGCGTTTCGGGTGACACCCAGGCGGGCTCCGCTACCAAGGTGCCTGTTTTTGTTGATGCCCGGACGCTTAGCAGTGGTTTGATGGTGTGGGGTCTCCCCCGGGGTTTTCAGCCAGTCAGTGCCATCCTCGACCTCCTTGACATTCATTTGCCACAGGGCTTTGAGATTTACGTCTCCGGCTGTGACCGAGTCGACTCCCAGGTGCATGTCTGTGCCGGAGCCGTTTTCAGGGTTCATGCTAGACAGCAGAGCGGGGACAGCCCACCCAGCCATCCGGCCAACGACTTTGAGGATCACTTTGCTGTGCGTTTTGTGACGAAGACAGTGCATTTCGCGGTCTTCGCACCCAGCTGCACGCCAGAAGTTATTGGACTTGATGTCGACTTCCCAGCTGGGGAGGGAGAGACTGGCGATTTACTCTCTATCGCCAGAGGACATGACACCGCGGTGCGCTTTGAGTTCATGACGCCCGTCCGCCCCCAACCACAAGTCGGCTTTGGGTGCATTCTTGCCTTGCCGCTTTGGGCGGAAAGCAAAGTGATTGCCCTGTTCGACACCAGGCAGATTGATGGTCGGCTTTTCCCCCTAGTTGTTGACGCGTGGATGCAATGGGGGTCTTTCCTCCTGCAGACGGGCTTGGAAGGCAGAGGGCCAATTGACGTCTATGTGCGGCAGCGCCTTGCTAGCCCTGGGCGCCCGCTCATTTTTGAATCCGGGGACCTCATTACTGTCCTTCCCCCGGCGGCTCCTCTGCCAAGTCTGTTTGATCTACCCTTCAAGCTAAACCGCGCTGGGCTGTGGGACGATGAGTCGCCCAGGCCTGTCGTCGAAGGCAGGAATACATTCCTGCTCCTTACGGACGGTTTGCCCCGATTGGCACAGATTGACAGGCAGCTCATCAGAGAGACTGACGACTTTCGTGCTGCGGCGGCAGTCGCCCTCACATGCGACGTTGAATCTCTCACATGTAAGGTCGCCAGGCCCAGGATCTCTGATTGCATGCACTTGGGCAACCCGTGTGAAGCTGTCTTGCTCGCCACTACTGCTTTGAGGCGCACACCAGTTCCGCCAGGACGTGTTCTTGTGCCGCAGGTCGTAGTCTTCTTCGATCTTAGGGCAATTCTGCAGGATTTCTCTTGGTGCATCCTTGACAGGGGTGTTGCTCCTTTGGCCGAACTCGAGCGTCGGTTTGCAGATCGGCTTCCCGATGGGCATCAGGTCTGTATCCATGGGGGCTCACAGGAGCTGCAGCATGGGGACACGTATCTTCGCTGTGAGAATTGCTCGGTCTTGCATGTTGAGTACATTCCTTGTACCGACCGAAACCCCGAGGGTGCATCTGAGTCTTCTGAGGAATCGTCTGATGACTCTTCTGATAGTTCTGACGGGCCCCCGGACACGGCAGTGCGGGGTCCACCACCTGCCGAGGAGTGCGACCGCAGCCGAACTCCGCGCAACCGCCTTCCCCCCCAAAGGGGGCCTAGAAAGCTGTACCTTGCGCACAGCGTCAAGCCCGTTGCGGCCCTGCTGTTGAGCACGAGCGCAGACGCTTGCAAGACGCTCAGCGAGCGCATGCCAGGCGTTGTTGATTCCTGTGGGCTTTCAGGGGCCACCTGGTGCGCCAGCACCGTGCCTGATGCTGTCGACATGGTGTGGCTTGCGAGCTGTGTACCAGAGGGGTGGTGGGCTGCGCCTTTGCAAGCCCCGGCTTTCTTGTGTGCCTGGCTGGGGACTCCGCGCACTCATAAATGGCTGGTTGAGCCCACTCCTACTACCCGGGCAATGCAAGAATCTCTCGCTGCGTTACGCTACTATGCCCCACTTTTGGGGCGTGGCTGGCGCTACATTCCGGCCCGACCTTCTGTCACCCTGCGTGACACGGACTCAGGCGAGTCTAGTGACGACGTTGAAGCAGAGGTCGTGGCTCACTTTGTGGTGCTTGTGCCCGGATATCTTCCGGAATCCATTCAACCAACCCTTCACTTGCCCGCGACCGTACATGAGGTCCTGAGTGCGGTCAGTCAGGCCAGAGACCCCACTGCTCGTGACCGTTTCCCGCTTCTGGTCCCTGCATCCCCTCAGCCGCGCCTCGGCAGCGGTGTTGTCTTGGCCTTTGCAGAATGGCAGATGCAAGACAACCTTCTCTGCGTGGACTCCTCAAGTCTTGATGGCAGAGTTTTCTCGCTAAGCGCACCTGCTTACGTGACACGCCAACAGCTGTTGGCCCTTGCGAATGTCAATGAGCGCATAGGGGTCTTAGTTTACGTTGGGGTTGATGATGCTCCACTTGCCGATGACGTCTATGTCCATACACGTCTTGGCCTTACGGTCTTCATAGTCCCCTCCGACTATACCCTTCCAATTGCATACCCCTTGGAGTATGTACTGGCGGCCCACTTTTCCTGGAGCAGCGAACCCGCCTTTCCCGAGCAGGACGCTGGCCAAGCCTACTGTCTCGTGCATGACGACTGTGTAGTGCTTTTTGTTCTTGACCCTAGGCGTCCGACAGCCTACCGACGGCAGATAGCAGCTTGTGTTGGGATTCCCGAGACTCGGCTCCAACTGGTACCCGCCTACCGGCGTGTGGTAGATGCCACTCTGGATGGCTTGCTTTGTCGTACTGTCATTGCTGTCCATGAGGAACACCCAGGTGATGCACGCCCTCCCTGTCTTGTGCTGGTTGACGCCCGAGCCCTTGCTGCAGGCTGGTGGTCCCATCTTGCTAGGGACAGGCAGACATCCTCCGCAGAGCTTCTTGCCTCTGTTGCAGAGGAGGCCCCAGTAGGATGGATCAGGCGGATAGTCGGTGTGCGGGCGGAGGCCTCTTTCGAAGTCCAACCCGGCCAGGTATTCCAACTTGAGGTCGTAAGGGCTCCTGTCGTTTTCAGCCAGGTACAAGGCCATGCCCCTGTCCCAGGCTCTGTCAGTCTCACTGCTGCGGAATCCCAAACTCCGGCGGCTCCTCCCCCCATTGGGTCCTCGGAGTCTCAAACGGGGGACGCTCGTACCCCCGCCCCGTTGGGATCTCCGCATGAGCCGACACACCCCACTTCATTTAGGGTTGACCCTAATGTCCCTCCAGATAGTGGGATTGAGACTTCTCCCTTCCTTGAGGGCACTTTTGTCGTCTTCCGCCAGGCCTACTGTCCCGAGCTGGTCTATGCCCGGATGCCTGTAGGATGCAGCGACGTCGATGCCCTGGAGGCTGTCAACGTCGCCCGCGCGCCCTCTCACCGGCAGGTCTTTCCCAGGGTCTGTGCCGTGCACCCACAATCCCTGCCGGGGGTGGGAGCCTTGCTAGCAGTCCCTCTTTGGATACCAGACGGCGCTGTTGTCGTTATTGATGCCGCCAGGGCCTCGGGGGCAGTGTTCGCGTTACACCTACCATCCTCTGTCACGCCCGCCGATATACTGCACGTCGCTGGTGTTCCGGCCGACACGGCCTACGAAATTTATCACCGGGACCTGCCTTGGCCTGTTCCTCCTGGCCGGACAATGCATCTGTCACACGGTGACGCCGTCCTGGTTGTCCCGACTGGGCAGGCAGCCTTCGCCACTGTCACTTTCTCGGACATGCTGTGTTCCGCATCAGGCTGGCTACCGGACTGGGCGCCGGACCTACCTTTTGAGGACACCGTCTGGACGCTTTCCGAGCAGGAGGCTTTCTCCTTCAGCGTTGCGGCGGGCAGACGTGTGCATTTCCGCAGCGATATAGCCACACGCCTTGGTGTGCCGCCGCGAGGAGGGGGCATTTTTGATCCCCACTGGATGCAACATCGACGACCTCCTCCAGTTCCGGCGTCAAGTCCGGCGGAGGTTCCGGCAGATCCGGTGGCACGGGAGCCTGCGCCCTCATCTGTGCCATGGCTGGTGGCATCCGCATCCTCTGACATCCGGGCCGACGGGAGGGAGGGGCCGGAGCCCCCCGAGCCTTCACTATGTTCAAGATGGTCTACCTCAATCGGTAAGAAAGTCAAGATGACGACCTCACCATGCCTGACCTGGATGTCCTGCCGAACAACCGAAGGACCTCCTATAGGGTCGAGCCGACAAAGAGCAAAACCGTCTGGGCATCTAGAGGAGAACCGGCTAATCAGCGAAGTCAGAGGCAAGCGCCCATCGGAAAAGTGTTGCCACGACAAACGCAAGAGCATTGGCCTCAGATCAAGGAAGCAGACCGGACCCGCGGGTCCCAGATCTTGTGCGTCTGGGAGGGTAACCGCCGCAATAACATTGCGAGATGGCACACCTCTGTCCTCATGGTCAATGATCATAGGGTCCGGTGCACGCAGGATCAGGGAGTGCCCGGCCTGCTCGGGTCCTCATGGGATGCTCGGTGATTACAGTCGAGTAGTTATGCGGGATAGGGTTTGCTTTCAAGCCACCCTTGCCGAGGGCCGTCCCTTTCCCGCCTCTATCCTCCTGGTTACCGCTGCATTGTATCGAGCCCTTTTTGGGCCTCTCCTCCACATCCTGTGCCCCCTTCTTGCGGCCCTTTGCCTGACTGGCTTCCTCCGACTTGGAAGCTCCCCGGGCGTTGGTCGACGCCGCCATCTGGTTCTCTGGCCCAATGCTTTAAGTCTTGTCTGCCTGGCTTGCTGCGTGAAAGCTGCTGCGGCTGTCGGTGGTGCCCCCGGAGAGTTTCGGCTCTCGAGCGTCCTGGTAGGCCGCACTGCAATGGGTGTGTCAGATTGCCGGCTTAATACACCAGCTGCTCTGGCGCTTCTCGCACATAGGAGGCCTGTTGCTACCCCTGCACGTGCCCGTGCTAGGATCAACCAGGACCAGGGCTCACCCCGACAGGTTTGTCAAGGGTTAGATGCCAACCCATGCGAGACCCCCCCTGATCCTGGCTCGAGGGAGGTGGTTGCTATGGAACCGGTACAGCCTAAGCTGCATTCAGCCTTACGGGAGCGCCTCCGGCAGCTTGAGGACTCTGAAGACTTCCGTCTAGCTGGACTCTCACTGGGTTTCAAGGTGGGCCACGTGCGGCAAATCCTTAGCCCCCCCTTGCGTTTCGCACTCTTCGATGATTTGCTGGACGCCTGTGATGTAGAGACGCAGCGTAATCTGCGGCAGCTCATGGACAGTCAAGGTCCCCTTCCCGACAAGCTCTTCTGCTTTACGGATGGATCCTTCTCCCCGCCAGCCTCCGGCGTCGGGGTGCGGTGTGGATGGTCTTGTGTGATGTTCCACCCAGCCAGTTCCACCCTAAGTCTAATTGGAGGCCCCCTTCCCGATTGGGTTCTAAAGGATACTCCCCCCTCTGCATTTGCGGCAGAGTGCACCGCTTTGATTGCAGCACTAAGGATGCTCCCAACAATTTTCTGGGGCTACACGATCGAGGTATTGAGCGATTGTCAAGCGGCTATTGCCATTGCCAATGGCAGCCGTGCTTGTTCCACAATCGTCGGGCAAGCCCTCCGCAATGTTGCATCTTTCGCCTTCGCGCAATTGCCTTGCCGTCTCAGCATCGGCTATGTCCAGGGCCACGCAGGCTTCTTCGGGAATGAAGCTGCGGACCAGGTTGCAAAAAAGGTTGCCGAGGGGCAGCCCATCGGTCATTTGCCTTGGCCGTCTTGGCCCGATTTTGACTGTTGGTCTTTCGGAGGCAAAACCTGGTCTTGGATCGGCGTTGTCTGTCAGTGGCTTGCGGGAGACTGCGCCCTCCCAGACTTGCTAGGGGGGAAGCTTTGTGTGAGCCGGACTATCGCCTCGGCGGATAGGCCGGCACTACTGAAACCCTTCCTCCCCATTTCAGCCCACGACAGTCCCTCTGCTGGGGCATCGGAGGATGTTGTTCAGTGGGTTCCCTTTTCCATACGCTTGGCTACTTACAACGCCCTGTCTTTGGGCGGTCGGCATGGTGCCTCTGATGTTGAAGCCTGTCCAGCGGGGTTAGCCCACCAACCGGCCCGACCAGCCCTTCTTGCTGCCAGCTTGATCGAGGCCGAGGTTGACGTAGGAGCCATTCAGGAGGCGCGCACCCCGGCAGGAATGGTTCACACCGGAGGCTATCTGCGCTTATGTTCCGGCGCCTGCAACGGACACCTAGGCGTAGAACTGTGGGTGCGGTTAGGGCGCAAGGTGCTGCATGGACCCCCTGGTTCCACTTGTGAGACTGCGTTGCGGGAGGAGCATTTCCTTGTGTTACACCGGGACGCCCGTCTCCTTATTGTCCTCTGCCAGTGCGGTCTCTCGGTTATTTTTGCGGTTGCCCAGGCGCCGCATCGGGGCACCGAGCATCACCTCCTTGAACAGTGGTGGAGCCAGACGTCTGTGCTGCTCCGCAAAATCGTCAAGGGACGTCCTTTAATCTTGGCAGGAGATTTCAATGCCAGTGTTGGTACACAGGTGTCCAGTCACATCTCCGATCTCGCTGCTGAAGAACAGGACCTTGCTGGGGAAGCTCTACACCGGATCTTGCGAGATCACGAGCTCTGGATCCCGGCTACCTTTGAGGGTGTGCACATAGGTAGCAGCTGGACCTTCGTCCAGAAGCGTAATCAGGCCCTCATCCGTCCTGACATGGTGGCCATACCGCTTGCGTGGCGCCAAGCTAGAGTCGCCAGTTGGTCTGACCCGGGAGTCACGGCGGCCCACGGGGTGGTCGATCACGTCGCATCCGTTGTTTCTGTCCGGATGCGAGTCTGTTGCTCCAAGCTAGCGCCTAGGAACACCGCTCGCAGTAGTGTTCCGTCCAGTGTCGGCGACCCTGCTATGCATAGTGTGGTGAGCGGGGTGCTGGATGCTGCCCCTAGGCCAGCATGGGATGCCTGTAGCCACTCGCATGCGGCCTCTGTCACGGGTTTCCTGCAGGCTGAGCTCAGACATGTTGCTTCTACTGCCCCCCGAAGGCCCACGCACCCATATCTGAGTGCGAGCACTTGGGATTTGCATGCTCAAGTAGCCCGTTTGCGACGGCGATGTGCCAAGATCAGACAGGACTCGCGTTTTCACTTGCTCTTTGCGGCTTTCCAGGCCCTGCGTGAGGGCCGAGGGGACGCCCTCCTCGAAATGATTGAAGGACCTTGGTCCCTCTCAGCGCATGTTGCAGGCACTATAGCCAGCCTACAGCTGCGTGTCCTCGGGCGACGTCTAAAGACGCACTGCAAGAATGACCGGGCGAAGTATGTCGAAGGACTTGCAGACGCTGTCGAGTGCAACCAGCCCGGGGCTGACAAGGCTCTACAGCGGTTACTATGCCGCCGCCGCAAAAAGGCCTTTGCCCCGGCGGTCCTGCCGGAAGTCCTCGACGATGCCGGTAGGCCGTGTGACACCCCGGAGCTCGTACAGCGCCGATGGCGGGACCATTTCAGCGCTATGGAGAACGGGGTAGAGGTCTCCGCCCCGGCCCTGAGTTCTCTCGCCCGGGCGGCCCAGTCTGTTCTCCCAATGCCTGTAGCATCCACGACCTCCCGTGTTTGGCCGATCTGTGTCAGGCCTTTGCCTCCACCCAGGTTGGGAAGGCAGGGGGCCCCGATGGCCTCCCTAGTGCCTTGAACGCTGCTTTCCCTAGGCAGCTCGCCCACATATGGTACCCAGTCTTGCTGAAATTCTGCCTGCTAGGAGAAGAACCCCTCGGGTTCAAGGGAGGAATCCTTACCCACCTCTACAAAGGTAGGGGTTCGGTCTCGTCCTGCGACTCTCATCGGGGCCCCATCGGGGCATACTTTTGCTATCAGTGGTTGCTAAAGCCTTGCACAGGGCGTTGCGCCCGGCCATTTCTCGACATTTTGAGGCCGTCGCACACCCCTTGCAACTTGGCGGCAGGCGTGGTGCCTCGGTGATCTTTGGATCGCACCTTGTGCGTTCCTTTCTGCGCCACCGTAACATGTGCAAGCTGTCGACGGTGATTGTCTTTTCAGACGTCGCCGCAGCGTATTATCGCACTGAGCGTGCGCTCACCACGCAGCAGCCGAACAGCCAATTGCCCGCTGTCCCAGAGGCTAGCACGGAACTCGACCTGGAATTCCAGCTCGCCCAACCGGGCGCCTTGGCCCAGCAGAGGGCATCGTCTTGGCTCCAAGCTGTCACACATGAAATTCATTCGGGCACATGGATGTCACTTGCCCGCGATGCACAAATTGTTCAGACCCGGAGGGGCACCCGCCCCGGGTCTGCTTGGGCGGACCTCTCTTTTGCAGTTCTCGCTGAGAGAATCCTGCGTGTCCGTGACGCTCAGCGCTCGCCCCTTACTGTTGCCTCCGCAGGTAAGGCCGTACCTTGGGACGGCGCCCGACATTGGGGCGATCAGGCTGAGCCCCAGCCCGTCCCCCGTGCCACCCGGATCGAAGATATCATCTGGGCCGATGACTTTGCGGTTTGTTTAGGCCCTAGTTCTGCCCTGCATGTGCGCCCTGTGCTGGCAAACGAGACGGGTGCCCTGGTTGATGCCTTCGGCTCACATGGGTTCGAGCTTAGCTTCGGCGAGCGCAAGACAGCTGCACTCGTTTCCCTTCGTGGGGCGAATGCGCAAAAAGTCAAGCGTGACCTGTTCCGAGGCGATGCCACCGTCCCGGTGCTTTGTGAAGGGAGGGGTAATGCCACTCTCCCCCTCGTTCCTGCGTATCGGCACTTAGGTGTCACTATCGACCCCTCGGGCAATATTGCAGTCGAGTTGAAGTTGCGTTGTCAGCATGCGTGGGTCGCTTTCCGTGAGCATCGCACAAAGCCTTTCCGCTGCAAGCGCATCTCGGTTGCCAGACGAGGTGCGCTTCTCGGGACCTTTGTCTTGACCCGCCTGACCTTTGGGGCAGGCGCTTGGCCGCCCCTGCGTGCCTGTGAATCCCGTGTCTTTTCGAGGACCTTGTTTGCCCTGTATCGGGCGACTCTCGCTGTTCCGCGTGACAGTGATCAGCATCTTTCCACTGTTGAGGTCTGTTCCTTGGTCGGGCAGCCGGATGCTGATACAGTCATCCATGTTGAGCGTCTTCGATACCTCCGGCAGTTAGTCGCTGGTGCTCCGGATCAGCTGTGGGCGCTGGTTCGGTTGGACTTGCCTTACCTGCGTGCCCTCCGGGCATCTTTGGCCTGGTTGTACTCCTGGGTCTACCGCACTACCGACCTTCCATGCCCCCTTGCGGACCCGGAGCCGTGGACTTCCCTCATGTGCCGTGCCCCGGGCGCTTTAAGGGCCTTGTACGCCGAGCCAGGGGCCTCGCCCTCTTGCGAGCCTCGGGATACGCCGTCCTGCGGGCGCTGCTGCGCAGTTTGCAGGCCCTTGAGGGTGCTCCTGTCGCGCCCTCTGCCACCAGCGAAGGGGTCTTTACTGATGCTTGTCTCATCTGTGGCCTAGCCTTCACTTCTCGTGCTGCCTGGGCCTGCCATGCTTCCAAGAAGCACGGTTACCGGCTTGTGACCTCTCAGATGGCGGGGGCCAATGAACGGCTTTGCCTGGGTTGCGGCAAGTGTTTTGCCAAGCCAGCTCGGCTGCGCCGGCATCTCCTGAATAGTGTTCAGTGCCGGAAGTCCTGGGGCTCCTTCCAGCCATCCTCGGCGTCTCTCCCCGCCATGCATGCCCTGGCACTCCCCGTCTGTGTCCCGGGAGTCCTATCGGGGGCCCCTGCTGCGACCGATCCTGCTTCATTCCACAGGGGGTTGCTGGAAGCCTTGACTGCGCTGGACCGGGTTGACTGTGACACAGCTTGGTGCCTTGTCAAGGACTTCGTTGAGCCTCTGTCTGTTCTGAAGACAACGGTTGGCATGTGGGCCGCCGGGGCGGGTGCCACACCTGACGTTGTGGAAGCAGCAGCCGACATCCAGTTGATGCTCGATCCCCAACTGTGTTGTGACGAATTTCGCGCCTCCCGTACCTTGGGGGAGAGCGCGGCTGTCTTCGCAGACCTTGCGTGGCATCCGCCCTGTCCTTTCCCCTTCGTCCTTTCCGGGGAGGTTGCCGTTTTCCGGCTGGAGGAGCCGCCCCTCCAGGGATACGTGTATCCCTTTACACAGAGTCTGCCTTTGGGGGTTGCCACGAGGTTCATGCGCTGGTTTGAAGTCTGTTGCGATGTTTTAGGAGCATTTGCACAGACGTCTGCAGTGCACCCTGTTTGCCTCTGCGCCTCTTGCGCAGCACTGGAAGCGCTCGAACCGGCTCGCGCCTGGCTCCTACGTGCGGGGTTTGTACAGACCGCCGAGGGCCTCCGATCACCGGCTTCTTGAGCCCCAGTTTCTTGTTTCACAGAATTTGTTTGCATGTGGCGCGTTCACCGAACACAAGCCATCCGAAAGAAAGAAAGGGTGCCTAGGGTTTTGTGCGCGGGTTGCTGAGTCATGATTTAAAGGGACCCCTGAGGAGGATGGCAAACAAAGCTTGCCAAATACAAATGGTTTACGGTGTAGGTTTTGGGGGTTTAGGGCTTAGGGGTTTAAGGGTTTAGGGTTTAGGGTTTTAAGGTAGCAGCAACTGAACACCCTCCAAACCCCCCAAGAGCCCTCAGCCTTAACACCCTAAAGACCCGAAGCCCGACAACACTAAAACCCCAAAGCGCTCTCAACTTTATTCCCCTATAGATCCCTTTAAGGAACCCCAAAAACGATATCCCTGTAAGGACACCACTATAGATCCCTTTTAGGATCCCCTTAAAGGAACCCCCAAACGATCCCCTTGAAGGATCCCTTTAAAGGAACGCCCCCCCCCCCCCCTCAAAAAAAGACGCTCCCCCTTTGAAGGATCCCCTGACACCCCGAGAGTTGGAGCCTTCCTGGGCTCCAGGAAAGCCCTCTTCCTCCGCTCCTCGAGCCTTCGGAGGCTCCAAAAGCGGGCAAAAATGGGGGCTAGGATACCCAGTAACCTAAGAATAAAAAGGCCTCTCTTTTTGGTATTGGGTAACTTTATAAGGAACCTAGGACTACAAAAAGGGAATCAGGGTACTACTGGGCATCCTGGGGGGGGGGGGGGGGCGGGAGTTGGGGGCTCCTCAAAGGGTTTTAATTTAGGGGTTTTAAGGGTTTAAGGGCTTTAGGGGTTTACGGGTTTGGGGGTGTTAACGGTTTTAGGGTTTTTGGTTCAGGGTTCAGGGTTTAGGGGTTAGGGTTGGAGGTCCTTAAAGCGTTCCTTCAAGGGATCCTTAGAGGGATCTACAGGGGTTCCTCAAAGGTATCCTTAAAGTAATCGTTTGGGGTTCCTTGAAGGGATCCTTATAGGGGCCCTTGAAGGGATACAAGGATCTATGGGCCATAGAAAAAGGTTTTAGGATTTTGGGGTTATAGGGTTTAAGGGTTTTAGGGCTTTCGGGTTTTAGGGCTTTAGGGCTTTTAGGGTTTTAGGGGTTCAAGGGTTTAAGGGTCTTAGGGCTTGGGGTTTTAGGGCTTTAGGGCTTCAGGGTTTGGGGGCTTGAGGGTTGAGGTTTGAAGGGTTTAAGGTAAAAGCCAGAAAGTTGGAATATGAGTACCCTAACCCTTCTATGGTAAATTATAGGGTATCCTACCATGAAACCATATTCCAACTTTCTGGAGTTTCCTATAGGGTGTAGGGCTTTAGGGTTTTATTGGTTAGGAGGATTGGGTTTAGGGCTTTAGGGCTTTAGGGCTTTGCGATTGAAGCTCACGGCTGGGGGTTCAGCCTTCCCAACCGCTATGTCTCGGGGGGCGCCAGCCTTTCGCAATGACTTCCGACGGTGGTAAGGGTTTCAGCTTTGGAGGTTCATGGGCAGCTGTTATATGGGTATATGTATTCTACTTATAGCCTGACGTGTAACTACCCGAAAACCTAAACCCTAAACCCGATAGAACCCTAACCCTCAAAGGAACCCTAAACCCGTATAACCCCGACTTATAACTACCCGAAATCCCAAAGCCTAAACCCAATGCCCCAACTCCTAAAGAAACCCTAAATCCTTATATGCCTACTCATAACTACCCATGAGCCTCAAAGTAGCACCCCACCCCAGCCTTGCAAGTCGCTTCTCCTCGAACTTCTCCTGCACGTCAGCTGCGGGATGTTCGAACCCTCACATCCACCCTAAATCTCAAAGCCTCACGCCTCAACAGTCAAACCTCTGAAACAAGCGCTTGATCGAAAAACCTATAAAGCCTCCAACCCCCTAAAACTCCCGCCTCCTCGCTTGGCCCGCGGCGACTCACCGCGAAAGCAGCGGCAGCGGCGAGACCCAGAGCTGCGGGCACAGCCTTTTTTGGGCTTCTTGAAAATTTGGGAGTTTCCGAAAATAGGGGACCCTAATATGGTACCCTAAATAGTAGGATCCTTATTATAAGGACCTCAAAATAAGGTACCCGGAATTTTCGGAAACTCCCATTTAAGGCCCTAAATCCGAACCCTGAACCCTTAAGGATTAATGTAGGGGCCTGAAGAATTAGAATAGGGCTTTGGGCTCCCGAAAAGCAGGATGAAGATAAGGAAACCCTCAGCCCTTCGACCCCCAAACCCCTCAGCACGGTCAAACTTGCACAGGGTCTCAACCCTGAAACCCAATTTAAACCCTAACCTCCTCAGCCTTACAGCCCTAAACCCTGGACCCTAAACCTTAAACCACTAAACCCTAAACCCCTAAACCCCTAAACCCTAAACTCTAAACATAAACCCTAAACCTCAAAACCTCTCAGCCTTGAAGCTCCAAAAAGAAGCCTCTAAGCCCCTGAGCCCAGGCCTCTTCCCAGCCCCGCCGCGAAACGGCTGGAGCCCGGGGAGGCGCAGTTCGGACGCCTGTGCTGGGATTTAATTCAGGGCTTTAGTTCTTTAGGGCTTAAGGCTTGAAGGTTTAGGGTTTAGGGTTCGGGGTTTAGAGCTTAGGGTTTGGGGCTTAGGGCTTAGGGCTTAGGGCTTAGGTTTAGGGCCGAGGGCTTAGGGCTTAGGGTTTAGGGTTTTAGGGCTTAGGGCTTAGGGTTTCGGTTTTAGGGTTTATTTGTTTAGGGCTTAGGGCTTAGGGCTTAGGGTTTAGGGGTTTAGGGCTTAGGGCTTAGGGTTTCGGGTTTTGGGGGGCTTCAAGGGGTTCTAGGGGGGCATCAGGCCAAACCCTAAACCCTGAAATCCCTTTTAGATCCCTTATAGAATCCCTTAACGGAACCCAAATAAGATCCCTTTCAGGATCCCTAAAAGCATCCCATAATGACATAATGGATGCCCAAACCCTACTATAGGGCCTAAATAATTACTAATACTATCTTGGGGGTTCCTTATTAATTATAAGTATAGTAAAATATACCCACAATCCAAATTCTAATCATTAAGGCCCCTGTAGTAAACCCTTGTGACAGCCCTTAAAACAATCCTTAATATATCTCGACAATCCTATCCTAATTGTTAAGGCCCCTGTAGTAAGCCCTGCCTCCCCAAGTGACCCGAAGCGTTCGGTCCGATGGCCCGCGCAGCGGCACGAGGATCATGGCGAGGAGGCTTGGGAAATGGGAATTCCAGGAATCGCGTTCAGGGTTTAGTGTAGGGGCCTTATAATCGTTACCCATACTATTTTGGGGGTTCCTTTTTATAATTGTAGTATAATGGAGGGTTTAGGGTTCAGGGTTTAATGTAGTGGCCTAAATAGTTAGAATAGGGTTTTGCGGCCCATTATAGAATCGCGTTCAGGGTTTAGGGTGCAGGGTATTAGGGCGCAGGATGTTGGGGTGTGTGGTGTGTGGGTGTGGCGGCGGTTTTCGAGGGGGCGGGTGGGGCGATGGCGATATACGAGTGCACGATTAGGGCACCAGGTGCAGGGCTTCTAGTTCCGGGAACAAGCGGAGCGTCGCGGCTCAACGTCCCAGGTCTTCACGCCTTGAGGACATAACGTGATTGGAGGCGCTGGAATAGAGAGACATGGTTTTGGCACAGCTGTTCAAGGCTAAGGTGCATTTAACATGGGTAATTGTTGAAATCAGGGTCCCCTTGAAGGTCTTTTCATAAGGGTGCCGTACTATATTTGGCATCCAGAAGGGGGCCCAATTTAGAGATCGCAGCAGCAGTAGCAGGAGTTGCAGCTTGTAGCAGAGAGCAGTAGTCGTGGTCGTAGTCGTGGTCACCGTTTTCATCGTGGTCGTCGTGGTGGCGGTGGTGATCGTAGCAGTAGCGGTAGTCGTCGTCGTGAAGTAGTCGGGGCCATAAGTACTAGCAACTAGCAGTACAAACATCAGGCACTGCGGCTAGTTACGCGGACAGAGAAGCAAAAAAACACAATGATCACTCTCCTCTTTAGGCTGTTTGTTGGGCGCTGGGTTGAAGGTGCCGTGCAGAGCCATGCTCGTCCCATTTTTGCGCCAGCGATTGAGGATCAGCTCTCGTCGGAAGCGCTTTTCTTCTTTTTCTTATCTTTCTTCTCTTTCCTTGCAATGCCGGCGCACAAGATGCACGCGAGAGGTCTGATTCGGCTAGGTGCACAGCACGCAAGCGTTATTTCTCAAGCGACGGGCCTTAAAATTTTCAACCCTCAACCCTAAAACCCCTAGAACCCCTAAAACCCCTAAACCCCGAAACCCTAAACCCCTACACCCCTAAAATCTCAATCCTAAACCCCGAGGCGGAAAGCTTAACCCTAAATCCCTGAAGGCTCCTTTAACCCAAAACCTACTGTAGGGGCCTTAATAATTAAAATAGGGTTCCTTATTAGTATAGGGGCCTTAATAATTAGAATGTAGATTCTGCGATACCTAAAATAAGGAACCCCCCAAAATAGTATAGGTGATTATGTAGGCCCCTATAGTAACCCTAAACCCCTAAGCCCTACCCCTAACCCTCGGTTTCCGAGTGCCGGCTTGGTGGCGTTTTCTTCTCCTTGCCCTTCGACTCCTTTTGGGCAAGCTTTGGCTTTGGCAGGGTTTCGGTCTGTCTGGTTCCTAGTAGGGCATGGGGTTCCTTTAAAGGGGCTTTCAGAGACTCCAATATCCCTTGATTCAGGAATATCCCTTAAGTTATAGTAGGGTCCCTAATATGATTTAAGGTATATTCCGTAATTAAGGGATATTGGAGGTTCTGAGTTCCTTTAAAGGGGTCTTTAAGGGATCTATAAGGATACTATACTGTGCCTGGTCCCTGGTAGGGAATGGAGGAATGGATTATGGAGACTCTTATTGGGGAATATATAAGGACCATTCCCCCATTCCCTACTAAGAACCAGACAGAGGTTTAGGGTTTAGGGCTTTCTTCTGGTTCAGGGTTTAGGGCTCTGGGGTAGGGTATGGGGTTTCGGGGTTTGCGGTTGAGTGAGGTGTTT